TAAGTGGGTCTAAGCTGCCTGCGCAAATCGAGAATACTGGAATCAGAAAAGGAAAACCATATGCCATTGTCACATAAAATACATAACGAACAATCCGTATTTCATGCCCCAGCTGCACAAATTTGCACATTCTGAGGGCCCCAAAAAACTTCCGCGGACCCATGCTTCATACTGGTTCCCCTTCCCTTTTCACAAACGATTCCGTAAACAAAAATTACTGAGCAAACATATTCCTGACTGAGCAATACAGCAGACATAGTTCCCTCAGAATGCTCCCACTATTTCTAGTCCACTTAGAACGACACACTTTTAGAATCACCCAGACAAATGGAAGAAATAAGCAGTCAGAATTATTTCGGTGATAAAAAATGTGAATAAAAATCATACGCGAATCATGTTCTGCACTTGATTCGGTGTCTGCTGCGATTGCGACACACGTTGGTTTTCACAAACTGACAATAACTCGATGGGGTAGAAGTTATTGCTGGGCTGGCAACGCTCCACAATTAATGGCAGCTGCGCAAATTTCAGACGAATATCATACTTTCGCACGAAATACTGCTCCACAGAGAGTTCGCCTTCCTTTGTCGCCACCCTAAAACATATTCGCTTTGAATACCGAAAAACTTACATTCATCTACTACCCACTGCAACAGAAACTGAAGGGCGCACTTATGATTTCGGGCGTTATCCTTTGAAATGCCGGCGATCGCGAATGCTCGTCCCTTGCCATAGGAGCAACGCACATATAATCCTGAAACGAGCAGGCAAATACAGGCGCCCTAAAAAGTGAACTAAAATCACAAGTGCCTACGGCCACAATGGTATGAAATTTTAATAAAAACCTTTCAGTGCCTTGCTCAGCACGCCCATGGCTTGGTTGTCGCAGCCTCGTGTCAGCTCATTTCTACTTTTTCTTAGGATGCACTCCACTTTTTCGAGTAAATTCTGATTATCGACGTGAAACGCCGCTTTCTTCACTGAAACAAAGCCCAGCTAATTCAAGGAATTCTCCGAAGTGCCTGTACATAACAAACAAGTAGTACACAAAGTGCACACCGTCAACGACCAATGCTGCGTTTATTCCTCCTTGTCCATGTGGTCCTTCAATGATACGAACACCTTTCGAGGCACCAACACCGACATATTTGCCCTCCTGAAGTTCCGGCATGTCGCGAGCTTGAAAACCAAACTGTTCCGGATCCATCAGATAGCACTGTCCGGTTCCGTAGCTCACAAAGCGGCCTCTGAATGAAAATAACAAGTTAAAACAACAAGGCCTATGCCTCAACTTGTTTCTGGCATCAAAAGTTGTTCCAGGTCAAATGATTCATTCCACTGACCTGACAAGCACTGTTATACAACTAACAAACTAGGGTAGTGGGGCATATTCATGTACATCCAACACCCCGAGAAAAATTTACGACTCACTCGGTGAAGAATGTTTCCTGCGCAGCGAGAATTTCGAAGAACTGTTGCAAGCTGCGATTCACTTCGTCAGGATTGTCGCTGATGCTACTTTTCAGATCGTTCATCGTTAACTGGAAGTCTTCTTGACACGGTTTCACCTGCAAGCACATCTATCACGTGATTACGTCGGGATGGCCCATCCCAGTTACTTTTGGAGCAGGAGGAACCTGATAAAGCAAATAATTTGTATGCATTATTTAAAGCATAAGACGAACCCAAAAAAAAAAACCGAAAAAAAAAAACCAAAAGGAAAGAAATAATGATAAAAATGAATGAAACGCTAACATTGACATGGACTTTGACACAGTCCTCGCTGACAATACCGGGTGGCAATTCCTTTGGCTGGATAACAAACGATGCACGCGCCTAAAAACATCTCTTTCAAGGCCATACAACAAAGTAATAATATAAAGGAGACTGGAGAAATGCTTTCGACCCTCCCAATAGAACTCGGGGCCTGATTCATTGCAACGGAACAACGGCTTACATCGGTATCGCCGCCGGCAGCAGGGACCGGCAGGTGACGAAGAGAGTAGAGTATGGCTGCGCGATCGTACACCAAAGAATCCATTGGGCCAAAAAATTCTTTTTCACGTCGTAGAAGCACCTGGTACACCACCGTGCACTTGTTCTTTCTCTCCACGGCCAGGTAGCTAAAACGAGAATCGTCACTGTACACCACATATAACACAAGCAATCACAAACCCAACCAACAACAACCTCATCCCGCTGCAGAAGTACACTTCAGGTAGTGGGGATGACTGTAAGGTCATCCTCCATTCACACAATATGAAATTTTATCAATTACGATACTCTGTTAGGCCCATAATTTCGATACAGTTGAAAAGCTTCAAATGAATGAACAGGAACTTACTCATCGCGCGTCTGTTTTGTCACCTCTTTCATAGCCGGCTCCACGGACCCCTTCTTCGGCGGGTATTCTTCAAGAACGCGGAAATCGTAGCGATAGATTGGGACATTTTTGTTCGGAATTATACCCCAAACATTGGTGACAATATCCAACGATTCCCCTGCGCGTTTCCCGGCTGGGACTTTTTGCGCCAAAACCACCGCCGGACCTTTGACCTGAAATGCGCTTAACACTTCCACGCTGTAATTTGCAATAACGGAAAATAGCCTTTCCCCCCTCCCCCCCATCTCACTTATTCCTCAAATGAATTATGAAGGGAGGACTGATGAAATGCACTGACAAATTTGTAGGAAGTGTACGGCCGGAAAATCCAGGGAAGAACGGAAATTCGTTCCTAGAAAGGTGCTCCTACTCCTCGCAACCCTATTCACCCACTGCAAAAGACTCGCAAGAAGGCGGCACAAATTGGTAGGGTTTGCTGCATAATACTTCAGAAGCATTAACAGCTCAGAACAAAATGTACGTAGTTGGGCATACACACTAATCGGACATGTGTTCCAGCTGATGTGGAACACAATAGCCGGTGGTTGTAGTGGACAGCACGTCACGTTCGGATGTAGAAAGGAGTGGTTCAGCTCCCTCGCCATTCACAAAATTTTGCGGGAAGCGACCCCACTCTGCCATGCTCTAAAAATTAGTGTGTGGATGTTCTGTTCCCACTTGTACATAGGCATTCTGGGGATAACTCGAAGAGTACTGTCAGGGGCTTGTTTTGTTTAAAAAACAAGATAAAAGCGGCGAGAATTTCACGGTAATTCGCTACCATGAAAAAGGCCTCCCCCGGATGCACAGTTTATTTTTAGTAAGCAAGCAAATCACTAATCCATTAAGCTCATATTCAGCTGCATAACCAAAAAATTAATTTGAAAAAAATTAAAAAAAGGAAGATACCGAAAGCTTTTCGGTCTGCATGCATAACTTTCGGACATCTTCACGAGACGCTGAAAATAAAATAAAAACGCTGCAGTAAAATGAAGAAGTGATGTAATGCTGTGCCTCAAAAAATGTTTTTTGGAATGAGGAGGAATGCCTTTTTACACAGAGCAGAAATAAAAGCTGCATCGGAATCATCATCGAACGAAAAAGGCAGCCGCAAACCATCGCGGAAACAAAGGGAAATGTCTCAAAAAAGCACAGAAGTGCGAAAGGCGGGAAAAGAGAACACCGAACCTGCCATGATGTTTTCCTTCTCGGCAAATCACAAATGATTATCGAAACTGCGAACTGGTACGGTTCCGCGCTGCAAAAAAAGCAGTAGAAAGCATAATCGCCAGATGCAAAACAAAGCTCGATGCAGCAGATCTCTGAGGCAGATAAACGCGCCGCCGATACTGCTGCCACGCGATAATGGCACAATTCGGTGTTCAGCATAAGAAGGGAGGAGGGGATTTAGGGGGTAAAATGCAAATTACTGATGGCGATTTGACGAGAGAAGCATTCGTTATAGAGTTGAATTCGAAATCTTTAAGTTGTACATGAACTGAGAATATTCGCTTCAAATTTCAGCTTCTAACTTTTCTAGTTCCCGCTTTAGCAATTTTCCCACCAAAAATTTTCATGGAGCTGTGCGTGAGAACCACGCACATCTGGCAGAAAAATAGTTCACTGGTGATTTCCGAGGATGGGAAGCGCAGTAGTACCGCTGCTGTGTGCAGCAGTTCGAAGGTTCAACTCCACCTCTGCGATAACCAGTCCTTCTAAGACTCGTTTCGATGGTAAATTGGTAATGGCAGCTGCTGCTGCACATGCGAGCTACTTCTCAAACGCCGTCGTCTTGCACTGCGGGTGAATACGGAGGGAGGTCGTTTTTATGCGTTTTTTGCAGCAATGCAATGCGAAAAACGCATAATGACGAGAGGTTGTCTGTGTGTGTGTCTGTGTGTGCGCTGGGCCTCTGTACCGATTTTTATGCGTTTTTGCATATATGTAAATTGCAAA